AAAAACGCGCGTCCCACTTAAAGAAGAAATTAGGTTCGATTCCTGGCAATAACATTTTTATATATCCAGAAATTCATAACTATATAACCACAATTTCATAACTATATATCCACAATTTCATAACTATATATCCACAGTGAATGAATGAAGTAAAAATACACAATGAATGAATGAATGAAGTAAAAATCCACAATGAATGAACTAAATATCCACAATATATTATTGAACTAAATATCCACAATGAATGAACTAAATATCCATAAATTCATAACTATATAACCACAATTTCATAACTATATATCCACAATTTCATAACTATATATCCACAATAATGCTATTGCTGAGAGTCAAACCTGATTTTTTTTTTTAAGTAGGATGCACGTTTTTAATCAAAACGACATCGTTTTGAACCGTATGCACCACATGGTACATTCGGTTGCACAACATAACTATTGTAGTTGTGTGGTGGCCGGCTTTAATTTATAGTTAACTAACGTGTAAGCCGTAAAGCCGGCCCCGGCCTTGATATGGCCCGCGGGTCTATTCCCGAATCCCGTGTGTCGGTACATATATTACAGATCGAAAGAAAGAAAAATACCTGTAAGATTATTACTCCCCAGAGCTAAGTGTTGCAGGGCTGATAAGTTCCCTATTTCTCTTGGCACATTTCCTGCAAATATATTTATGTTTATGTGTATATATAGTATTTTCTACGGTGAAAGATGAGATGAGATGAGACATATATACCGCTGAGATGGTTTTCTGACATGTTGAGAACTCGGAGATTAGTCAACAACCCAAAAGTTGCCGGAATGTTCCCAGAAAGTTGATTGGAGCCCATAAACAAACTCCTCAGCCGCCTCAACCGGCCAAGTTCTTCCGGGACATTTCCATAAAAGCTGTTGTCGCTAACGTCCAAGGAATCCAGGAAAGACAGGTTTCCTATGTCTCCAGCAAGGGTGCCTCTGAGACCCATACTAGGAAGAATTAAGGCTGTCACTCTATTATCATGGCGGCGGCCGCAGGAAACGCCGACCCAGCTGCAGTGAGAGCTCGTTTCCGACCAATTCTTTGCCAAGACGCTGCCGGGATCCAACAACAACCGGGACTTGAACGTTACAAGTGCAGCCTTGTCGTTTAAGGTTGTCGCAGCGATCATCATGGATTGCAGCAATCCGATGATGATGATGATGATGATGATGATGATGATGATGAGCAGAAAGTGCAGTCTGTTGTTTGCCATGTCTATCTGGCGATCCAATGAATCAATTGTAGGAATTCCAAACCAATTCGATCTTTAATAACTCTTATAATTGTCAACCAACACAAAAACATTAGATCAGACCCCTAATCACAAAGTTACAAATTTCACTCCAGAGAACAAGGTCACATAATGCGCCTATTGGTCTTAATTAGCTTCTTGAATTGACCTGGTTTGAATCCGTCAGCTATATATGAACAATCTATGATGGTTTACCTTCTTCTTCTGATCCTTTGTGAACTAGAGTCATAAGAAAAGATTTGTACGGTGCATACTCTCGGATAGTAACTGCAGATTTTCTTGCTTCACACTCAAAAAACACAAAAACGTTGAAACAGGTAGCGTATGTAAGGTGACAACATGAGAATTGTTTCGAATAATGGTGATGGGTACATCCCGATATAAACAATAATATTTCCGATCCTATGACCAACAAAAAGAAATCCGGCCGCCAGTAAATTATGTTAAACTAACGTACATTATTACTGAAACTCCGGGATGAGGAAAGAGGGTTAAGTTGCCGGAGTTAAACCTATACTAGCTAGCTGGTATATATAATATATAGGCATATAGCTAAGAACAATCCATGAAACTATTGATCTACAAACTAATTAAAACTTTTGTTGTACGCTCACATGCACAAAGAGTGAAAGAGATCAGACGACATCCATCACTACTCATGCATGCAGCAACGTAAAATACAATCGTTAATCCTGGAACAGACTTAATTTTAATATTTTATTAATTTAATTATGTAATTAAGTAGGTGGAGTGGTTTTGAAAAATTGTTAGGGTAGGTGGATTTGTAGGTTCCATGATATTGTGGGGCTGGGTTTGCGATTAGTTTGAACACAGACTTTTATGTATGAAAGGCTTTAATGATATCGAGGGCAGTCTGCATTATACTATCCACCAAGGTTCACAGTGCATTATGGACCATGGTTTATGTGTTTGTGTTTTGTGTCTTGCTTTATGAAATTCTGTACCTTATGAGTATGAATTTTGTATCTGAAACAAATTTGTAATTGTGTCTTATGTTATAAATTTTTGTATCTTGTATTGTGAAATTTTGTGCATATGAACACAATTTATGTTCTTAAATTAGATTTGAAAAATAAGTAAATATATAATATGTGTATGTGTCTTGTGTTATGAAATTCTGTACCTTACGAGTATGAATTATGTACCTCGTCTTTTCAATCCAGTTGGGTCCATTATAATGCTATGCTATGTGTATTG